TGAATGGCACTGCCACGCCCCCTCCTAACCCAGCAGGCAAGGAGACTTTATGTATGCGATCCCTTGCATGCCGGGCACGGAACATTGCGGCAGACACGCAGGCTGGTGGAAACAAGCCCCTAAGCCGGGTTCACACCTAGGCGGCACCGTTTTTGTGCGGTTGTGCGCACGGTTATTTGCGCGGTGTGCACATTTTTATGCACGTTCGCACGTGTGTACATGAAGACACGCGTTTTGACTGGCAGCTTATGAAACATTGCGGGCAATGTAAGAACACGCGTTTAAACGCACAAAAACGCTCATGCTTCTGCCACACATTTTTGGGCATTTCCATTGAAGTTTATGGGGCAAAAACGCGCTTTTAACTGCGCAAAGATGCTCATGTACCTTTTTGGGGCGTTTGGCCTTTTCCTGCTGGCGTTTTCCTGCTCAGGTGTGAACAAGAGCCATTGAAAATCATAGGATTTCTTGTGTTGGGCATTTCAAAGAGCTTTTCCAACTGCTCAAAAACGCTAAGGTGCGAACCAGGCTTTAGAGTCAGATAGATCTATACATTTCTTTTTAATCCACAAAAGCCTTGTATTTTGGAAAATGCACCAAAGTTATATTACAAGGTTGGTTTCAATGCAAATAGTGCAGCATTATATGATATCATTGAAAACACAACATTCAACAAAGAGCGCTTTAGAAATAAAATGACAAATGGCCTGAACATTCAGGAGCCGGTCAGTCCAATGCTTCATCCAAAAGAGCAACTGCCAGATAACATTCACTTCCTGTGACAGCTCTAGAAAACTGACCACTACAAAGACTATACTGGTGTCACCTCTAATACTTTAGGCATAGTGGCCATATGTGCCCCTGGGGATTCCTTTAGTCCTTGGCAAGGAATAGTCTTACGAAGCTTCCAAAATGGCCGCCATCTGTCAAAGCTCCGTGTTTGTAGGAGACAGGAGAACTTTAAGCTCTTTAAGGGCCGTAAGCTCTTTAAAGATATTTTCTTGCAATTTCACAAGCTATGTTTGTGATAAGACAGAAGGTTGTGAGTGAGCAGATAAAACAGAAGCAGTCGGAGAAAATACACTTTTCCTACTTTAAATGGATTATTAAATCAAGACTAACTAACAATTCTGTGGGAGAATCTACAGTACACAGCCATCTGTAATGTGCAACCACTGACTGCAGTCACACCCCGATCCACAATAAACAGACAGGCTCATGAATATAAAGTGTCGGTGATGTCACTGGTCTCTAGTGAATGGACGGGCTGCGTTCTCTTGAATATGAAGTGTCGGTGATGTCACTGGTCTCTAGTGAATGGACGGGCTGCGTTCTCATGAATATGAAGTGTCGGTGATGTCACTGGTCTATAGTGAATGGACGGGCTGTGTTCTCATGTATATGAAGTGTCAGTGATGTCACTGGTCTATAGTGAATGGACGTATTGCATTCTCATAAATTGCCTGTAGTAATTGCACGAGCTGGGTTCTCAGAATTATAAAGATTTAGTGATGTCCCTGGTGCCTAGTGATTGGACAGGCCGAGTTCTCTTTGAATATGAAGCGTTAGTGCTGTAATTGTTCTAATAAATGGATTAGAGGCATTCTAATAAATATCCGAGTAGTATGTATGCAAGGTATGACTTACCAGTTCCAGACATTGTTCTGTCTTGAAGGGGCTCCAGAGGGAAAAAGCCATGATGACTGCTAAAACTGTGACTCAGCTCCTCCATTTGCATAGGGTAGAAACTCTCCTCTGGATCGGTCATCCTTTGACTCGGCTGGAAACTCCTGGACGATTGTGCTCTATGATCAGGATGGATTCTCATCTCCTGGTTTGGAGCAACGATGTGATCCTTATATATGGGGTTTAAATGAGGAATGGTCGATGTTGCCTGTGAGCGGGCCATATGAGTCATAAAGTTGCTGATCTCTTGCACATGTTCCCCTTCACCCACAAACTGGGGTTGGACATGGCTGGCAGGATTTTGGCCACCAGTACTCTCTTTTACCATAGGAGGCTGACTATGACTTCTAATAAAAGAATGACCACCGACATCTCTCAATTGACTTCTTCCAATTTCATTAAAGCTTCTGTGGCCCACGGTGGGTAGATGAGGGTCCAACATGGCTTGATATAGCCAGCTTTGGCTGCTGCCATCTTTAAAGGTCAAAGACTGGTTATGACCACTGAAATCCCCAAACTGGCCAATACCAGAGATGTTTATCAGTCGTTGGTCCAGGTCCAGGCTTCCAGCCTTCATGGCCTGGCTAGGTAATTCATGAACATAATCATCAAATAAATGTCTTCTACTTAGTTCACTAACCATATTTGACTTGAGCAGGTCTTTATTAGTGTGTTGGGGTTTGTCCTGGCTTTTTGACTCAGAATGAGCACTGTTGTAAAGATTTCTCATACTGGTAGCAACTTTTGTTTCCAACGTTTTAAGTTGACCAATGTTCTCCTTGGGCTGGCCAACTCCTGTAATAAGTTGCCCACTAAATTTGTCAATTGTGGCTTTGTTACAAAACTGGGATCCATCACCCATGTATCTAGGACTGTACCCCTTATCGTCACTACCACCAACAGGATCTTGGCCTCTCTCACTCAGGAGCTGGCTGAAGTTAATCAAGTCTAAGCCAACGCTTTCCTTAAGATGTGTACTGCTGGCAGACCTTTGGCTATTCTTATTACGGTCTTCCAAATGTTGGCTACTGTTGAGCTCAAAGTGACTACCACCTGCTTTGCTGTGGCTGCTGTTACTGCTGGCGAGGTGACTGGCTCCTATCACACCTTGCCCCGTTTTGTCAATGTTCTCTTCACCATAGCCACCCTCTCTGGTCTGCTTACTTGACCATTGCTCAGTGGGTTCTGACTGTTGACAGGGCACACAGGATAATGGGGCCATGGTGGAAGCCTGTGAAAAGCAAGGTTGTGTTATAGACTACATATTGCTACATACAAACGTATACAAAAATATACAAAAGTACTAATTATGCAAAATTAGTACTTATATACAACTGGGGACCCATCGACAATGTAAAGCATATCTTCTACAGGTGGATATTTATCAGCTTCTGCAGCCATAAAGTTCCAAATGCCATGGCAGCCTCAGAGGACCTCTAAGGACAGCAGCTCAGCAGGGTAGGGTCCATTAAAGGAGAAGTACGAGGTGAGTGATTTACACTCATCCTCATAGTTAGAGCCGACATGTGACATTGAAACTGTCACAGGTCGGCTCTATAGATCGGGAAGTGAGCGAACACATACCGCCGCACACTCACTTCTCGATCATGTCCCTGCAGAGAGTGGTCACTGTCAGTCACCGATCCCCGCAGGTATTCCCCCCCCTCCCCTCTCAGATCCTCAAGCGCTGAGTGGAGGAACGGACAAAGTAGAGGGCGGGCACAGCTGGCTCTAGGTAGGCAGAGCCCACTGTCAATCAGCCAGCTGGGTGGATCGCGACAGTATTGTCGGGAT